CTCGCGCACCAGCCGCTGGAAAGGCAGCTTGCGGATCAGCAGCTCCGTCGACTTCTGGTAGCGCCGGATCTCGCGCAGGGCCACGGTGCCGGGCCGGTAGCGGTGGGGCTTCTTCACGCCGCCCGTGGCCGGCGCGCTCTTGCGGGCCGCCTTGGTGGCCAGCTGCTTGCGCGGCGCCTTGCCGCCGGTGGACTTGGGAGCCTTCTGCTGGGTTAGCGCCATCGTCCACCAAACACCGCTTTGGGGACCACGCTGGGCTTCAGCTGCCAGAGGGAGAGCCGCAGTCACACAGGAACGAAACTATGGGAGCACTCTGCGGTCTCTGGTGATATCTTTATAATGTTTTAATTCGAGATTATGTTGGCCTTATAAAAAGTTAGTATGTCACGTTTACTCACCTGCAATTTAACAGAAAAAAATTATGAACCTGCTGTATGAAACATAAATTTGAAACCAAGATGGGCTTTAAACATTGTAATCATAGCCTTTCGATCCAGTGTACTCTTACATTTTATTTTGAGAGTTAAGAAAGGCTTGCTTTGTGCATATGATAGCTATAATCAAATATCTGTTAGTAGAATCTGTGGGTGTATAAGGGTTAAAGGTAGGCAGAAGTGAGAAATATGTAGGATTTGCACAAATTACTTAATAATAACATATTTATCATACATAGGTTAAAAAATTAAAGCTAGAATATAGAATATATGCATTTTGGGGTAACAGGATAATGACAATATCTAGTTATTGTCTATGCACTGGACTACTGACAGCACGGTATGCAGTTAGAAAACTAAGTTCTCTGAGGGAGAAAGACAGGGCGTTCTATGCCTGTAAAGAGTTGCATAAACGCCCAGCGTCAGTTCTACCCTGTCCTACAGGGTCACTGAGAATAAGCGTTGACTCAGGGCAGTGAGGGAGGGAGAGGGATTTGGACTGGACCACTACCCATCACTACCATCCTCAAAATTGTTAGCATGTTTGAACCCACTATTGTAACTTCTGTGTCAACCCATCTCAGTAAGATACTTTTTATTTTTTTTGGTGG